GAACAGATCTCAAGTCCCAGCCGATATGGGTTACATGTATCAAAATAGCCCGACTTTTTTTTTTATTAGAAAACTTATATGCTATCCGGGGATAAAATTAAACAATTTTGCTTTGAATGTACTGTCAGTCAAAATACGCAGGTCATTGTGGAAATGTAAACGAACCTACAAGAATATTCACTAAATCAAGAAATTTTCTCTAATTGAATTTCGGTTTCTAATTAATTAATTTCTAATTGAATATGGTCCACGTATTGCGGTCCTTTTTTAAAGGACACAGCTTGTTAAATTGTTTTAACTCCTCGGAAACGCAGGGCGACTTCAAACTTTCATATCAAATAACCGACCGCCTCCGGGCGGCCGGTAATATGGCCTAACGTGGGAAAAGCACAATCTGCTTGCATAGAACGGGGACAATTCTTATTTTTGAAATATACCCTATTACAAGTTTTAAATAAAAGGGGGTGGGGGGGGGGGGGTCGATCCACACTTCAGGTGTCTGTACTTTCTATTGCAAGTTTGTGTGCACAAAAACATACGACAACATGACATTTATAAGATAACATAACATACTAGTAGGTAACATAAAAAATAAGATAAAATTACAGAACATAATTAGGGAAATTTTTCTTGCTTCAGAAAAATAGTATGGAACAAGCTAAATTTTTTTATTGTTTGCTTGACATTCACCATATGTTAACAAAATTTCCGGAAATCAGTACGATTCATTTTTTCAAACATCAAAGGGACTTTGACTATGATTATGACGTCATAATACAGTTTTACTTAAGAAATAAGGTATCATTTTTGAGTTTTATTGAGATGTAAAACGGGTTGGTCACGTGATCAAATCCCATAAAGGGTTTTATGGAAGATTTGATCATGTGCCAACCCGTTTTACATCTCAATAAAACTCAAAAAATTATACCTTATTACTTATATTTACATTTGTGACTTATTCATACTTTAAATTTGCCTGATTGTTACTTTTAACGTGCGAAATGCGTTATTTTTCAAACCCAACGGCATGTATGTAATCCACTAAACGCGCGTCGACCCTTTATGACGTCACAAATAGTTTACGTCGAACGTTTATCCAAACGCATATCTATGACCTCTTGACCCCGTACCTGTATTTATACAGTTATAAAAACGCTTGCTTTCAGTAGTGTTATATATAGGAAAACATTTGCAAATGTAAATATATAGATGTACAACGTCAATTACAAAGCAGTGGGTATGCAAACTGTAAGTAGACTTTAAGCCTTAGAATATCTAGCAGATTTATAATTAATTGCATTTCTAACAGTGGCGTAGCGTGTATCAAATATATGTGTAGCATTAGAAAAATGAAGCCTGACAGGCTTCACTGAGGCGCAAAGCGCCGAAAGGGGGTAGGCGCGGGAGGGGGTCACCCCCTCCTGCCAAGGGGGTTTGGGTGACCTCCCCCGAGAAAATATTGAAAAATAGACGCACAATTAGCACTTTTGAAAGAAAATTTTTAATTTAAACAAAAAACGTATGCTTGTCATAGTTATTTATTTGGGCATTTTAGGAATTTCGCCCATTAAACAATCAGATCTTGCTTTTTTTTAAACGCACACTCTTACAGATTCCCAAGATATATGTCCCCACAATGTACATTGAAGTTGAAAGAATCTTTAAAGCAGATTATTTTTAGACACCCCCTCCCCGTGATTTGAATGTTTAGAAACGATGATACATATATAGGCATTTTTACTATTTGTTATAAATTTGAATAAATGTTTTCAAAAATTGGTATATAAGTAATATAAGTATATAAGTAATATGTTGTCAGTGTTTTGGAGAAACAGATAAATTTTACCAATTTAAGAGAGAGAGAGAGAGTCAGAGTCGGTCTTAGTCAATTCCGTCGTAGTCCCTCACCCTCCCTATGTATGAACCTGTGTCAAACAAATTTTAAAGTTTTAATTATTTAATATACTAGTATCATAAACGCTGCTGAGCGAACAAAAAAAGGAAAGAACGTTTTAAGGATTTGAAAATGTGTGTAAGTTTGATACTAAATTTCGGTTAAATTTGAACAACAACACATTATACTACAGTTACTTGGTTGATTGGGATTAGAAAACATCAAAAGATTTAAACTTTGTTGTGAGAAACTCAATTTTTCTTAATATGTCAAAGATTGTAGGAATGTCCCACGACATCTTTGTATTAGGTACTCAGTTTGAATGCTAACGCCACTAAAAGAAACAAGACTGTAAATTATAGGTTTTACAGAAATAAAATATATAATATATATTATATGTACTGAATTTTATTTTATTTTTTTTTTATTTATTATTGACAAATTAATTTATTACATCAATTTTATTTTTTTTAAGAAACTTGACCAAATATTTTGCCCAAAATTATGTGTAGGCATTTGCCTTTTTGTCTTAATGGACGCTAAAGTGTGTTAGGAATCCAGCTTTCTTCTCTCATGATTTTAAATGGAAGTCATTGCCAGTCATTATCTGATTTGAATATTTTTCACTATTGATAGATGCCCCGTGGGGATCCGGGTTAGAATAGGTCCTCGGTACCCCCTTGCTTGTCGTAAAAGGCGACTAAATGGGGCGGTCCTTCGGATGAGACCGTATAAACCGAGGCCGCGTGTCACAGCAGGTGTGGTACGATAAAGATCCCTCCCTGCTCAAAGGCCGTAAGTGCCGAGCATAGGCCTAAATTTGCAGCCCTTCACCGGCAATGGTGACGTGTCCATATCAGTGAAATATTCTGGAGAGGGACGTTAAACAGTATACAATCAATCAATCAAACTATTGATAGATAGATAGTACCTGGGCAAACAATCTTCACTGTCCCCTTTTGGAGTTTTGTTTATATAAAAAGCCTTTGCGGAAGAATATGTGGGTTTTTATTTATATTTTTATTCATTATCATTTATTTTTTACTTTGACACGATTGACACGAATATGCATTTACCAAAACCGAGTCAGACTTGATTGAACATTAGATTGCTTTCAAAATACTTTGATAAAATACAAATAAGTTAATCGTTACGTCATGACAGAGGTTTTTAACGATGACCTATATATGACGTCATAGTTAAGTTTTGTTTACAAAAAAGCGATGGAAATGCATCTCGTGAGTAAAAATTTATAATGCTAATGATTTGTTAATGATTAGTAAAAGTAAACGATATTTCATTGATGTCTGTAATTTTTTTTTTATTAAACCTTTAAAATACTATTTTTGATGTTTGGTTGTTTAAATGAAAGACAGATAGGAATTCTGGAACACCTTATAATACTGCATTAAAAAATTCAAAAATTATCAGTACTTTGCAAATGTCGATAATTTTCATAGTTAACAATTTGCTTAATTCTGGAAATTATTTTTTTACCATTGCAGCTAGGACACAGAAATAATTCTGGACTTCGGAGATGAAGCCGTAAAAGATCTGGTGAGTATATTAATTAGAATAGCTAATTTTTGCAAATTTAAACAAGATAAAATGCTAGATTTAAGCCCTTCGGGAAAACTACACTGTATCTTGTGTCTAGAAGTTCCCTATATGCATCATTCACGTATAAAATATTTTGTTGAAGAGAGTCAACGTTAAGAGTTCAAATTACAAAAGTATTATTGAAAAATGAGAGAGAGAGAGAGAGAGAGAGAGAGAGAGAGAGAGAGAGAGAGAGAGAGAGAGAGAATGAGATTCATGTAAAAAGCGTCTTGATTTATTTGTTAGAAATCAAAGAAAGAGATACTAAAGTTTGAAAAAAGCTGGGTGGATATGGTGGAGGAAGCGGAACTGCAACAGCTAATGCAGGGCTTTAGAAATATCTGATATGATTCATTTGATTATTTTTAGTTTAACGCCCTTGCCAATTTTTTCACTTATATGGAGACACTATCATTAATCTGAGTAAATACCAGTACATAAGAGAACTATTTTAGTTTACAAATGAGCACAATTTGAAATATCCTGAAATTTACCTTTAAAAATGTCTGAAATGTATATTATGTATAATTTTTTAAAATAAATATTTACTTTTATTAAATATAATCTATTAAATAATTTTAATAAGGATTACGAAACAGGCAAAGACCATGTACACCCTCTCCTTCTATAATAGGCCAATGTAATATCTTTCATGAATGTAACAAATTAATTTATTTATTTCAAAAACTTTCATTTATTGTTTCGTAAATTGTTTATATAGGAAAATTTATCCAAGGTAGAAGATATATTGAAAGTCATGGATTCACAGATCAAGTCTAAAGAAGAAATGCAAAAAGAATTTAAGGTACTGTATACAAGACTTATTATGAAGTTGTAAAATGATATAAGTCTGCTCTTTGTAGACCAGCTTGATTAATGTTACAATGTTAATGTTACAATTGTATTAACAGAAAGATTCCCCCTAAAAATATCGTCAAGCTAAGAAGCACATTTATTGGCATTGAAAAATTGAGGAAAATGTGGAATCCCATCCACCGGGAACTGATGGTAAAATTTTCAGAAACATATGCTCTTGTACCCAATTATCTTACAGTTAAACTTGGTTATCACAAAGTCACGGGGATCTACGAAATAACTTCACTTTACCCATAATTCGTAATATCCGTTTAAGATATTCGTTAAATTTTTATAGGTGGGGATCCAAGATAACATCCCTATATCCGTAAATTCGCAATATCCGTGTTCGTACTAATAGAGTTTTACTGTATTATTTTTTGGAATTAAATGTTCATGATATAAAAATTGATCTATATCTGATAATTTATTATACAGGCATTTTTTACTACAAGAGTTCAAGAGCTCCACCATCAGACGAAGATCATGTCAGAGTTGTTAAAAGAACTTAAGGTAAACATGCCAAAAATATTGGTTGCAATACTTCAGAAACTGAAAATGTGGGCAATTTTCCAAGTTTTAAAAAGGTAAACTGTTCATTACTCTTGATAAATTTTGATTTTAGGTAGTGGCATCAAGAGAACTTGACAACAGAAATGAGAGATTGGAAAGAAGGCAGACTACTTGGAGAGGAATACATAAAGAGTTGATGGTAAGTTTTCATCTGTTTATCCTTTATGTTATATTTTTGTTATATTTGATTTAATATGTTCTCAATTTTAATGATCCTGTCTTGTTTGTCTTGTGTTTGTTTTAATTTGATTATTTAATACTTTATGATATTAAAAGATCTTTATTTTATCATTTATTAGACAGGAAGCTTTGATTCAAAGAGATCAGGACAAACTAAAAATCCACCATCAGAAGATCATGTCAGAGATGTTAAAAGAGCTGCAGGTAAACACATGTGTAAGCCAAATGTTACTGTTATTAGATACAAAAATGTTGACGATTAACAAATTTTTACACAGGTTCAGTAAAAATAATTTTTGATGAATTTTGATTTTCAGGTTTCGGCATTAATGGATTTTGAAGGAAGAATTGCAAGAGAAGAAAAGAGGCAAACCATACACAAAGAGCTGATGGTAAGTTTTCAATGCTTATCCTTATCTTATATATTCTTGTATTTTTATGCCCCGCCATGAATATGACAGGGAACTATTCCCCGAGGGCTTTCCCGAGGGGAAAAGTCCCTGTCAAGGGTTTGATAAAAGAGCTATCCCACTCACAACCAGTGGATAAGCGTTTTATTATACTGATGTATGATATAATTTCTGAGGTTTGAATTTTTTGATGTAAGATAATACTGCAAGAATAATCTGAAATCCTTATGATGTCACAATGCTACTGAAGTCATTATGACATCATCAGTCAATAGATTATCATTTATCACTGGAAATCAAAATTGGAGGCAAAAATTGGGTGGATAGCAAAAAAACTATACTCCAGGGTGTTATGCATGAACTATAAAAGATTTTTCCTTCTGAACTTTATATAGGAAACATTTTAACAGAGGTATAATGCATGTAAATATTGATGAGAGCTATGCAACTGCATCAACATATTTTTTACCTTTCCTTTGACCTTGACCTCACTTTTCTTAGATTAGTGTTTAACTCAGTTTTAAACATATCATTCAGACAAGGTGGTGTTATCAAACTTCACATGTTGATACAAACTTGCACGGATGATGCATCTATGGATGGACACTACCAGACTTGCTTCGGATGCTGGATCTGACCTACATTTTCCAGATGAGTGACCAGGTTAAAGTTTTTGGAGCAGGTCCATTCCTAAGGAACCATAAGCCTTACTTGGACCAAACTTGCATGAATGATGTAAAGAGATTGAAACTACCAGACTTGCTTCGGATGCTGGATCTGACCTACATTTTTATTCCCTATAACTATAAGCCCTACCTGAACCAAATTTGCATGTATGATGCATCTAGGGATGGACACTACCAGACTTGCTTCAGATGCTGGATCTGACCTATATTTGCATTCCCAAGTAACCATAAGCCCTACCTGTTCCCAAGTAACTAGATGATGCATCTAGGGATGGACACTACCAGACTTGCTTCTGATGCTGGATCTGACCTACATTTTTATTCCCTGAGTTCCTATAAGCCTTACCTGAACCAAATTTGCATGTCAAATGCATCTAGGGATGAACACTACCTGATTGCTTCAGTTGCTAACAATCTGACCTATATTTTCATTCCCAAGTAACTACAAGCCTTACCTGAACCAAATTTGCATGGACGATGCATCTAGGGATGAACACTACCAGACTTGCTTCAGATGCTGGATCTGACCTACATTTTTATTCCCTAGTAACTATAAGCCCTACCTAAACCAAACTTGATCTGAGGGCATTTGAGGTACTACCAGATTTGCTTCAGATGCTTGATCTGACCTATATTTTCATTCCCATGTAACTATATCCCTACCTGAACCAAACTTGCATGGATGATATCTATGGATGGACACTACCAGACTTGCTTCAAATTTTTGACCTATATTTTCATTGACCTTGACCTAACTTTAAGCCCTACCTGTCAAACTTCATATGATGATGCATCTATGGATGTAACAATTCAGCTGCATCAATGCTGGATCTGACCTATATTTTCCAAACAAGAGACCTGGTTAAAGTTTTGGGAACAGATCAATCTCAATGAATTTGAAGCTCTTGATATCTACAGTATTAACAAAGTTATGAATATCTGTTCACACTTTACATGTTTTTCACCCTACATGTGTAGAAATGTGTATATGCCATGTAAGGGGTTAAACATAACTTTCAAGAATATTGTTGTTGGGATAAATACTGAATATTTAGAAAATATGATGTGAGATTTGCATTTGACTTACACTGATAACATTCCTCGAGGTGAGCGAGCTTTGTTATCTTTGATTACCTATGTTTTATTAAAGACATCATTTCTAGATATTTTTATCAATCTTCATGTGTTGATACATACTGATGAGAGATACGTCACTGCATCAACATTTTTTTACCTTGACCTTTCCTTTGACCTTGACTTAACTTTTTCCTAAATCAGTGTCAAACTTCATATGCTGATACATACTGATGTAAGCAATTCAGCTGCATCAACAATTTTGACCTTGACCTCACTTTTATCAAATTGTGTATTAGTCAGTCTTTAATTAAAGACATCATTTCTTTATATTTTTAACTTCTTATGTTGATACATATTGATGAGAAATATGCAACTGCATCAGCATTTTTGACCTTGACCTTTGCTTTAACATTGACCTCACTTTTCCTAAATTAGTGTCAAACGTCATAAACTGATAGATATTGAGGTAAGCATTTCAAGTGCATCATTATTTTTTACCTTTACCTTTCATTTGACCTTGACCTCACTTTTATCCATTTTTTTGTTTAAGTCAGTTTTAAAGAAACCATTTATAATTATATTTTCAACTTTATTTGCTGATACTTACTGATAAGAGCTTTACAACTGAATCAACCGTTTTTGACCTTGGTATTTCTTTTGACCTTGAACTCACTTTAATGAAATTAGTGTCAAACTTCATTTCCTGATACATTCTAATGTAAGCAATTCAGCTGCATCACTATTCAAAATGCATGTATTCTGATCAAATTTTATACACATACTAATTTTCATGTTGCTTTACTAATATATCCTCGGTGGGGCAATCATGTCCTATGGACATATTTCTAGTTTGAATATGTTCTTAATTTTAATGACCCTGTCTTGTTTTGTTCATTTGTCATGAGTTATATTAAGTTTATTAAAAATTTTTTACAGTTAGTTTGGACTAAGAAGAATTTTGAAGATGTAAAGTTTCATTGTTAAAGTGAGTAAAAATCGGTCACCTATTGAGGAAGATTAAAATAAGTTCTTGTAAGGTTTTGACTAGAAAAAACTAATTTTTCTTCTTAACTACAAACTATCACTAAATTTGCTTATATTTCTTATAAAGGTGGTGTATCAAAATTTAAAAGACCATAGAGATAAAATAAGAAATTATATAGAAAAAGGTAATTCTGATATCAAAATTTGATCATTTTGTAAGTTTTATATTTCTTCGGAATCTTTTCGTATGAAAATATCTTCTTTTTGCCTCTCAAAATTTTAAATTTAGACAAAGAAATTAGAAAATTTTTACAAACTCTAAAGGCTCTGAAGTCAGCAGCCCCTTATGTAGCAGTTACACAAGTAACTATAGTGTTTATGTTTGTAAAATATCGTACTAAACATATGACTTTCAAAATTTTGAATATAGAAAAAAAAATTCCATGCAGTTTAAAAATGACTAAATACTTTTCTTCTTCTAGAATTTAGAATAAAAATATAAAAATATAACAACAAAAAAATTAATATTTCTGTCAATTTCCTTAGTGAGGAGTTCCATGTTTTATAGAAAGACTAGACAAAGAGAAGCAATCAGACTTAGAAAAGGAGAAAGAGGATGATCTATATGTCCCACGGAAACTGTTCCTGTTCAATGTGGATACTTTTAAAATTTCTCCACAGGTAAAAGTTTGATATGACATTTTTTAGAAATCATTTTGAAATATTTCCTTTGCAGAATTTTAATTGTGTTAAAAATTTACATATTTAATGCAGATAATCATCATTATATCCAATGTTAACGTTTGGGAGATGATAATTATTTAATTATGTTCTTTCTATATTGAAAAAAACATTTATGTACAATCTATGGAGGTTATAAAGGATTTTTTTATTCAAATAAAAGACTATGGTTTGTAAAGAGAGAGATGAATCCTAAAACCTTATTGACAAAAATGACATCTTAAGATTTGTGTGAGGTGCTTTACAAAATAAATTCTTACATTTTAGAATGTTGAGACTGAATTTTGCCACAACAGAACAGAGATCAAGAATGGCTACTGTACACCAAGAGTAGAAATGGTATGTAGTAATTTGTATTGTATGTATTTATGTTTTAGATTTTGACCAAAGTTTATGACCAATATTAAAAAAGCTGAATGTACTCTATTTTTTAAAATAGGAGGGGGAAAAATACGTGATTTAACAATTCTTATTTTACCTAATAATCAAAGAGTAAATTTCAATTATTGTTTTAATTTATTTCATATCTACTTACATTTTTTTTAAATAGCAAAATTTCACCTTAATCTTCAATCTGATTATAATCAGATCCTTGATCTGCTCCTTTATTTTTTATGGTCCAAAAAAATTAAAGGAAAATCAGGATCCTGATTTAAAGGCAAATTCACCAATCTTCAATCTGATTATAATCAGTAATTTAGCTCCTTTATTTTTTATTCCAAAAAAATTAAAGGAGCAGATCAGGATATGATTTTAATCCCATTGATTCTCTCTTATTTATGAATTTTAATTTGTTTTTTTAGGTACCCACTCCAGCAAAAAAGACTGAGGAATTCTTTGGTTTCAAATAAGACTCTGTGCGTGGAACCTTGGGAGAAAACCTAGCTGTTATATTTCATGATGGATTAAAATGTACCCGCTGGATAAAACTCAGACATAAGGCAAAAGAAAATAATTTCTTGGTTCTCAGGCCCTCCCTCATCTCTTCCAAGGGTGCCTCATTAACCCTTTTTATTGCTAAATCACTTAAATATAAACACCAAATCACCTCCCTTATCATTTTTTTTAGGTTTTGTACAATGTAAAAAGCTGCCTCATCAGGGCCGTAACTACCATTGAGGCAACGGAGGCAATTGCCTCCTCTAGATTTTCATTTTTTTTTTTTTGGGGAAATAAGAAAAAAAACACAAGCAGCTGGATCAAAATTGATCATTTATTTGTTTGATTATAGCCACCTGAGCAATTTTTCAGCTATCCATTGAGTGTCATCATTACCTATGCTCGAAGTTCAAAGCCTTTGAGCAGAGAAGGATCTTTATCGTGCCACATCTGTGACACGGGGCTTCGGTTAACTTTATGCGGTCTCCTCCGAAGGACCAGTCCCCATGTCCCATAGCGAAATTCGAACTACGGCGATCGATCATTTAAGAACTGCTTTTAGTACAGTGAAAACCATTCAGAATGAATCGACGGGTACGATCTTCCCAGATATCCCTATTGACCATCTTCGCTAAACCCTTGGCTAGCGA